TCTTTTGATCACATAATTAATTCTAAATTAATTATCGATCAATACTAACTAAATATTACTCTTCTTATTATTAATATATTAGAGCTTATAATATATTAATAAACCATAAGTGTCTTATTTCTCTCATTTAGTCTATCTAAGTGCATGATGCCATGCAACCCAAATGGACCATGCCGGGTCGGGTCAAGTACATACCAAATATAGTTATGGACTTAGACACTATGTCCAACAACAATTCTGTTAGATCATAATAACAACTCATCTCAACACATAATCAAGTAAGGTCATTTTGGGAAATTACCGTTCGAGCTCTGGCTGATTGTACACACCGCTTCCGACCTGCTTTCAAAACTACTTAATTTCCTTTGAAAATCGTGTGATGAAAATCACTTCTTTTGAAAAGTTATCAACTCCTCCATTTAAGTCTAGACATACCAGAGGGTGTGCCCAAATCTCTCAAACCAAGGCTCTGATACCAAACTGTAACACCTCAAAATTTCAAACAACTTTTTTTTTTTGATTCACTAAACATTATTCATAAATCCAAGTCATCACAAACATTTTAAATTATTATCATAACAATATCAGAGTATCCCAAAATCCACAAGACATCATAATCCGAAAAATGTGTATAATCATGCCTCCGCCTTATCAGAATCTACAAAAGTACCTAAAACACATTCAAATCAACACTGTAAGCATGAAGCTTAGTGAGTTCCCTAAAATACCACATACACAAATAATTAGCCTCTCATGGCTAAATCTCGATAAGGACCCTACAATCATGTGTCTCAGTGAAAACCCTCCGGTCTCATGTCTCGGTATGGACCCTCCGATCATAACTCAAAATATACATAGGAAAATATAACAACAAAAGTCACCACGACAGGATGCATAATAACACATATCTCAATATGAGAAAATAAGACCCACCGGTCAATAACGCAATATGACCCTCTGGTCAATAACACAAAACAAGACCCTCTAGTCCATAACAAAAAAAGACCCTATGGTTAATAATACGAATAAGTCCCTCTGGTCAATAACATGAATAAGGCCCTCCGGTCACACATAAATTACCAATAGGTAAGTATAGTGAGAAGACTCACGCCGGATGATAAACAAATCCTATAACTGCTGCTGCTGCACACCGGCCCCAAACTCTGAGCCAAACCCACCACTAAACTCAATTAGGATTTAAGACTATGTCCAATCATTAAGTCTAGAGATGGCCCACTAATCTAGCCTAAAAATAGCCCAAGCCCATTCGACCCACTATGGGCCAATACCAAATGGGTCCACCAAGGCCCAACCCTAAACTTATGTTCAAAATTGCAAGCCCCAAAAAAGGGTCCAAGACTCTTATATTCCACTAACCAAAATTCCCAATACAGCAAGCCCAAAACGCCTACATCGAGGTTACGCGGGGTGTACCTCCTTGGTACGCTCAGCGTACACGCGAATCCTGAATGGTGGAACTCAATTAGTATGCGGGGCGTATTGCTTAGGTCCAAAAATCTCGATTTTGACTTAATCGCTTCAGACCAATGTATCCAACCCTCAAGGAAGCTTCCTTACAAGCCCTTAACTCATAAAGTTGGCGACTTTATCAGTTTGCATACCTTAATGAGACCCAACTTCCAAAAATAACCATTTAGGCTCATAAATAAGCACCTTAAGACATGCATGGATGACTCTTAACCCTAAAGATTCCAACATTAAGCTTCTTGAACCTCAGAAGTGCCAAGAGTGGCAACTCAAAGCTCTTGAAGTGGTAACAACCACTAGATCTCATCCATGAGATTCAAAAAGAGGACTAAACCTTCATAACCATAGATCTAAACTTCTAAAGAGCAAGTTTAGATCTTTATATCTTAAATAAGCTAGAAATAGAGTAGAGATTATGGATCTACAAGCCTTCCTTTGAACTCCAAACTTGCACCAACCACCTTTTACAAGAATATGCACCAAAATACACCAAAAGCTGAAAAGTAAGCTCATAACACTCTTGGGAGGGTTAGGGTTTCGAAAATGAGTCTCAATTTCAGTGGAGGCTGAGATATGAAGGTCACAAGAGCCATAAATGTGTTTATATAGTGTCCAAACCCTAAAACTTAGGGTTTGGCACTTCTGCCAATTACGCTGGGAGTACATGGCCAAACACATGCTTTTCCCTCCTTGCATGCACGAGACCAATTTGCCAATCTTTTCAACTAAGTACCATTTCTGCAAATTATTTCAAGATGCCATAACTTCCTCGACTTAGGCCTGTTTCCAACAAACCTTATATCTACTGAAAGGTGGCGGGAAGCCCTACACCCCTAACAAGTCATCATAGCCTTAAGTATTCTGGGTCGAAACCTAAAATTCACGATGGATCGAGCCAACACCTTTACTAATACCATGGGGCTCTAAAGCACAAATTGAACTCTTTTATCACACAACCTCCCTTACCTGCATCTACTTCTTTAAAACCTAAAAGCCTTCTCATACTCGAATTACGGCCTATAACCTTGTATCACAAAACGACCCAAAACAGGATGTTACATGGGTGTGTTCGAGAAGTTATGACCATAATCCAAGAGCAGATTCTGAATCCATAGAATCTGAGTACTACACCTTACAGCAACAACATATTCAGCCTCAGCAGTAGAATAAGCCACCGATGTCTACTTGTTGTTGGACCAACTTACCAATATATTTCCAAGCATTTAAGCTCTTCCTGAAGTGCTTTTACAATCAATGCCACACCCACCATGATCGGAGTCAGTGTATCCCACCATATTGAGCTTAGAGTCACGAGGATACCACAACCCAAGATTGGGTGTCTGTTTTAAGTACCGTAAAATCGTTTTGACAACGTGAAGATGAGATTCCTTAGGACAAGATTGATAGCGAGCACACAATATGGTGTCAATCATAATGTCAGTGTGACTAGATTTAAGATAGAGTATAGAGCCTATCATTCCTCAAAACAGAGTTGCATTCACATCAGTGCCACTTGGACTAGTGCCAATAGATGTTGATGAAGACATTAAATTCTTTTCCGGTTTGCAATAAGAGAAACCATACTTCTTCAGCATATCTACAATATATTTATCTTGAAAAACAAAAATATAAGAAACCCTGCATCTGCTTCAAGCATATCAGAAACTTTCATAAACTGAACTACAAAATTATTCCATGTCTTTGTACAATATAGATGACTCCTTCCACACAGTCTTGGAAGGATTCTTTTGATTCAAAACATCCATTATATATTTCACCCAAAAGTTCTTATCATGGTTAGTCCCAACAAATTGATCACACTCTAGGTGTATGCATATTGTGTCGAAAGACTCATATACCCCTGCATTATGAAAACAAGACTGTTACTATACAGATAAACGACTCTTTAACATATTTGATCATAAAACTAAATATCTTACAGGTTTCCATTATATCTCATACATATGAAACCAAGAAGATGACCGAGCTAATCCCGCTAGACTATTAGGTCGCTTATGCTATTTTTGTAAAATTCCCTATAGAAAACAATCAAGAAACATCATGAAAAGAGATTCTTGTTTCTAACCCTTAAATATTGTATTTGACACTAATCTAGCAAGAGGTTTCACGAAGAGTAAGGGCGTCATTACCAACATGTACAACTTTTAGGTCAGTCCTGGGGCATTTTCCTGTGTTTACATGCATTTTAGAATTAGTTGGTTGTATCTTTACAGGTGAACCAGCCAAGAATAAGAAACAAGCTGAAAAGAATGTTTCCATGTCAGCTTGGTCATCTCTCTAACTTTGTAAGCCATATAGTCATTATATATATATATATATATATATATATATATATATATATATATATATATATATATATATATTGAAAATGGGTCTATAAAAAGATCTACTTACTTTTTATTACCTTCTCCACCTTGTCTTCCAACACATCCTTTATCACCTTGCAAAGATCTTCAAACTTCTCCTTCAATGCATCCCGCTTTTGTTTCTCATCTTCACTCTCATCAAGTTTTAGACCTTCTTTGGTTGTAGAAACAAGCTTCTTCCGCTCAAACTCCTTCAACTTAACAACTGCATACTCATCAATGGCATCCATCATGTACAAAACCTCAATTCCCTTCTTCTTCAGCTTCTCAAGGAATGGAGAGTTCTCCACTGCCTTCTTCCACAAAGTTTGTGGCATGATCAGCAGGGGCATGAAGCTTAATAATAGTGGAACCCATCAACATGTTCTATAACACTTGAAAAATTGCTAGTTGTATCTCACTTGCCACTATTGCACTCACAACTGCTGTAGAATGTATCCCATCTCTGTCATCATGAAGACAATTATCAGATAATATATCAAGTGTTTGTATTTAATAAGCTATGTAACACGGCCTAATAAGCTATGCAACACAAATTTGTTAAAAGTTGCGACTTAATGGGGACAATCTCATTTTTCTTGATTTTTTAAATTAAGTTGTTCTTTTTGTATTAAATAATAATAAAATACCCATATATTAGGTCATGTTCCTATGAAGTCCTTAAGATAACAAAATAAATAGAAACATACTTGTCAAAACATACACTAATAAATGAAATGATAAACTAAAATTTAGGAACAAATAAAGCATATATACTTATAGAAAGCTGGTTGTCAACCAGTCGGGTTGTTGTTGAATTAAGGTGAAAAGATCAATGGCCTTGATATTATTTTCTTTGCATAGGGCATTTATGTCTTTTGCACAGATGAGATATCAAGATCAAGTCCTCGTCCCACCATATTTCACATTTATTCCCATTGGCATCGGTCTTAGTCCCGGTCCCGAGTCAAAAGGGCAAAAAGGTAATTTTGATTTAGTAATGTACCTATTCTGGCAAGGAAGGGCGAGATACACGGTTGTTAGATTGGCCTGGAAGATGGGGCATAGTGTTTCATCTCTAACAGAGCATGAAAAGTTATCTTTTGAAAATGGACAAAGAAAATTCTTCATGGAAGACGAATTGAGAAGGGGAATAAGCAACAACATTTCCTAAATAAAAATTACTAAAAAAATTAATTAGTGATTTAAATGATAGTCAAATTAATAAGAATGATAATTACCGAAAATTCATTCCAAACTAATTTGCGATTCATGTACTTGAAACTAACAACACGATTCATATAAGGGCTACCATAAACAAGTCTTGCTTATATAGCTCTCTCAATAAGATTCCTATACCTGTATTCAAAAGGAACAAATAGATAAATATAGAATATTTTAATAGAAATAAATAAAGCCTATAATACACACACAAGTAAACGAAGGTGTGTTGCTAGATTTTTCATATACCTTCCGGTGTAAAGAAATACAAGCAGACTAGCAAAAGATGCAGCTTTATAAAATCCTTCAACGCGTTGTACTATAAACCATAATCTACGAGCTAGTGACCTCTGCCAACATAACAAAGAATATCAAAAGGGAGATATAGAGAGAGGGAAAAATTGATGTTAATTCTTTAATTTCATCATCAAAAAAATTAAGTTTTTTAACTAAAATATGTTGATATTGAGTATTAGATACTTGTTCAGAATCACCCCACCGGCGGAAAGCAGAAAAGGATTACAAACGAGTCCAAATATACTGACCACCAACTATAGCTACACAGTACCATATTTTCTGATAAACGATGAGCTCGGGTCCCTCTAACCCCGTTCTAGCTAAAAGGGTGATGATGGAAACCATATGATAAAGCTTCATTTCATGCTTCATGTTGTGTAATTTCTTTAAAAAGCTTACGTTTTGCTCTTGTTTCCATGGTGCGTTCATCTCTATATCATAGATTCATGAGATCATTTCTTGGAGTAGGTTTATCAACCCAAATTGTGAACCTCCAGATAAGAAACTCAAGAAAAGCATCAAGTTCTGCTTTGTATTGAAATAATAATCCTGGCTAATCACAAAAAGGAAAGAAGAGTGATTCGTATTGAAATAATAATCCTGGCTAATCACTAAAAGGAAAGAAGAGGAACATAATTAATCTCCAATGAATACGACTGATTAGTGTAAAAAAAAAATTAATTGTGCTTAATTAGGAGATTGTAATCAACTAATCCTGGATAATCAATGAATCTCATGATGTACCTTCATAACAGAGAAAACTTTAACCATTTGCTCTTTGAGCATGGCTGGCATTTCAATGTCGAGCCTTCCTGCATCCACCTGGTTAACCCAAGATATTGCGATTGGAATTGCATACTGCAAACAAATTTACCAACGGAAAGTAAGAGAAACACGTATATGAAATGCACAATAGAAAGAGAAACACATATATGAAAACTTTGAATAGATTAACCATTCTATGAAACAAAGAAATGAGAATAGAAATTAAAATGATATGCCTGGAGAAAGTTAGTGTGATTAAACTTCCACAGGTGGAGCACCACCAGCGATGATGAAGCTGGGGGAATCGTGAGAGCCAGAGGTGGAATCACTAGTACCACAGGTAGGATTCCAACGACATGTGCATGTGATAAAGTTTCTTTCATAGATGCCAATAAATAGAGTTAGAGGTGTTTGGGTCACTCAGGTTGAGTATCAGCTATTGAGGAATTTTTAGCTTGTTGTATAGATTGTCATATATAGTTTAGGTTGGGCATTTTTAATCTGCAAATCAGCTTTAGATTTGGATATGTTTAGATCCACGTGGTTTTTAGTTTAGTAAAGTATTAGATCATTGGATCAGTTTTCAATGCATCCTCGATCGTTGGTCTTTTCATTCATCATCAATAGTAGAGATTCATCGGAAGTTTCGAGTTGTATCAGTTAATGTTCAATGGATGCATCAACCTATCGTTAAGTTTGGCTCGAGTTTGGCAGATGCCATTCATTATTGGAAGTTTAGAAGTTAGGGAAGCGTTGTTCCATTATCCAGATGTTACTTAGATCTATGTAGAATCAAAATTTTGGCATGTTGTATCGGTAGGGTTGGTATTTGTATGGATCTAACCAGGGTTTTATCAACATTTTTGGATAACTTTAAAAGTGTTATCGAGCTAGTTATGTATTGATGGGATCTGGTCAGTCTCAATCGAGGTATAGGATCTTGTTTTGGCTGTCCATGAACAACAAAGAATGAACTAACTAAGCAAATATTAAAAAGAAAAACAAAGAACACGAGTGATCACGAAGATGCTTTCACTAAGAAAGGATGTTCTCCCAAAGAGAAGGAAGGTCACAAAGATAGTCACCAAGAATTACATTAGGGTTTCACCTTAATGTTGAATATGTATAATTACAATAACTCAAAATCCCATAATTAAGGGATGTATACGTATCTAAGTAAATGTATGATCCTAATCACTAAGATTATAGATCGCATATCTGTTATATATATATATATATATATATATATATATATATATATATATATATATATATGCATATAACTGCCTAATATATGAAGGTTACTTAGATTATGAAGTGCAAGCTGAGGCTAATGAGAATTGGTTCTGTCATTGGCGCTGACGCTGGTGGACAACATGTAATGTATTTAACTCATCAAAACATAATGTGTGACATTAAAATCTCCCACTATCTGATGATTTAAAAAAAAAATATATATTTAATGAATTTTTTCAGAATATGCTCCCCCTAAGAATGTATATGACTTCCCATTTTTGGTTATCAGTAGTAGAAGAATTAAGAGCAACGGAAATAATTAGCATATCATGGGTTACAACATAATGATATAATGTTCATATGCCCCCCTCCCTAAGATTTATAACATATGAGCTTTGCACCCCCAGAAAATGAGATCTTCCTTTCTTGAATCTGATAGCATATTCTATCCTTCTCTTTAAGATATTTGCTTGATCACAAATGAAGGTATACTAAGGACAACATATGAGCGTACGGAAGACCATGTTCCATGTATTGAAATATCTCCCCTTGAGCAAATAAAGAGTAGTGGTATCGCCACCCAGAAAATATGAATATATTGTTGTGAAATCATCTCTCACCCTTTTTGATATCAACAACATTATGGTACTGGCGGAGGCGATTAGCTTATCCGAATTACTCCATCAGCAGATCAAGAATGCAACTAACAATAAAGTGAGATTATGATGTCTCCTGATAGTTTGGGTTTGAACTATCATTCACTAACATAGTGTTGCAGGGTCTCATAAATGTATGGGGTCTTTACGTTGAATCATTAACTTCTTTTATTAGAAGAATAAAGGGAAAGAATGGAATGATGCGTGTAATACAATCCAATATGAAATCTATCCATCAACAAAGAATGTCGAAGTTCTGTTAGTGTATGGAAGATACATTGAATCATTAACTTCTTTGATTAGAATATGTATTGGGATAGAATAGGTAGGTGTCTGTAATATATCACGAATAATGATATATCTATTGACACAATTTTTTTGAATTCTCATCAACATCTGCCTTCATACGCTGAATCATAAAATTATCAAGAAGAATAAATGGCAAGAATGGATTTCTGCGTATGATAAGCTACGATACATAGCCTAATAATTGGCATAGACATTTAAAGCTCTCATCAACGTATGGTATGTTACACTGAATCATAGAGCTTTTAAGAAGAATTTATGGGTAGGAAGGGGTTGATGTGTGTGATAGCCTATGGTACATAGACTAACCATCGGCACAAAGTTTCAAACTTTTATAAGTGTGTGGTATATCATATTGAATCGTTAAGTTTTATTGAGAATAGGTTCAAGAGAGAATGGAATGTTTCAATCACGCTGAGGTGGAGTTAGCGTGAATCATACACAATGTACTTATCAACAAAGTTAAGTTTAAGTCTAGAATTTTAGAATTGACCACCAATTCATTTAATGTTGTAGAAGACAAAATATGTAAGAAGATAAAATTGTAAGAGATTGTTAACAGAAGAATATTTAAAAAGGAATACACAACTTTTTCAGAGGCCTTCTTCATAGCCTTTTTCAGGAGACTCACACGGATGATGCTAGAAGATCTTTTGATTTAAAAGCTCATAAACTAGTTTCCTATCTTCAAGATACATCCTCCTCAAAATAGTCTATAAAAGAATACATAAGTAGGAACAATCACATCAATATAAAACACAACTCACAACAAATCGAGAATGACAAAGCCTTTAATCGTTGAAATATTGCGGATAGATTCCAAGCTTCATGTTCACCAAGAGCAAGAGAGGAACATGAACCGGTCTTTGTAACCAACGAGTTAATGGGATCTAATCTATGTAACCTTCAAGATGAAAAGATCAACACGAGAGCACTCAAGTTTTATCCGATTATGAGTCAGCACATGATAGTAAGACTCATTGTATTAATGGTGGCTTCTAGCATCCATAAAAATCAATGGAGTAGAAAAAGAGTATTGTCAACAAGAAGAAGACTTGATGCTAATATTTTTCACAACAACTAGAGTATTCAGAACATTCTAAATGGTCATATCCGTTTCTAACTCTAGAAGGAAGAGAAGTAGATAATTCGTAGATAAGGTATTGATACCTTAAAAATAGAGAAGAGAGTAGTTGTAAACATTACATGTAATGCTTAAGCAAACTATGTATAGTTCTTTAACAAAAACATAATAAAATAAGCACCTTTTTTGTATGTGTTTTAAGAAAGAAAGTAGAAGCAATTATTTTAAACGAGTTAGAAAATGATTAAGTCATTGAAAGCATGCAAAGATTTGTAATCAATTTGCTCAATATGTTCTCGTCCAATGCCTTAGTGAAAATGTCAGCCAGTTGATCAGTGGATGGAATGTAGAACAACTCCATTTTTCCCTTTTGAACAATGTCCTTGATGATGTGATGACAAATGTCGATGTGCTTGGTTTCGGAATGCTACAGTAGGTTTTGTATCATATGAATGGTGTTGGTGTTGTCACAGTAGATATGAGTCTTTGAGTAGTTGATATCATAATCTAAGAGTTGATTCTAAATCTATAGAATCTGAGGAAAACACCTTCCAGGGACATACATGGTGCATGCATGTCCATAAAGTAAGCATTTTTATGGACCACTAGGGTCCCCTTAAACTTCTGGAAGGGTTGGAATTGAAGGTTTAATGGATTAAGAGCGTTAAAACAGTGGTTTTCACTTCAGACCTTTCTCACGACATGAGACATAAGGTCTCACGATGTGGGCATGAGTCACCCTTCCCCACTATGTTGTCTGAGTCAGAAGCGAGTCATGGAATCGGAACAGACACCTCTCACGACGTGACCAAGGACTGGTTATGATGTAAGATGTTATTTTAGGCTTTTTTGTGCATTAATGGGCCACTAGTTTTCTAAATTTGGGCCTTATTGTGCTTGGTCCCATTTATAGCTTTTTGTGTCATTTCGGAAATTGGGCCTTCTTGGATTAGGCCTACGATGGGTTTTGGGCCTAATTAGGAAGTTAGGCTATATTGGGATTTAGTGTTATTATTTTAGGCCTCAGATTTTGGGCCAAGGGAGGAAAGTGTAAAATGGACTTTTACCTCGAGGGTTGGACATCAGACTAGGATATCAGTTACGGGTTGTTGACCAATTATTAATAGGATATTATTTGATGGTGTTAGAGCGGGGATTTTTCCGGATTAGCGATCCGAGATTCTATCAGAAAGATTCAGCAGATTGAGGTGAGTTTCCTCACTGTGTTTGGCAGGTTGAAGGCACCAATGCTGGCGTGTGGTTTATTGTGATTAGGATACTAGTTGTCTGTGTGACTCCACATGTATGATATCTGATATGTTTACCAGGAGGGGTCCGATGCCAGGTGGGGCCTAATGTGTTCATTGTATGCTATTTACTTTTATGATTCTTACACGTATTTCTGTGTTTATATGTATACCGGGCGGGGCATGATGCTAGGCGGGGACTGATGATTATCTTGTGTGCTATTTATCTTTGTGATTCTAGCATGTGTTTATATGTTTGTATGTAGACCAGGCGGGCCTGATGCTAGGTGGTCTCTGATGAATGTGATGTGGTGAGGCCCATCTCAAATTACTAACATAACTGTTCCGAGTGGGGCTCGATGCGTGTGGGGCCCATTATCTTTTTGATATGTATGGTATGTGGTGTTTTAGGGAACTCACTAAGCTTCATGCTTATAGTTTTTAGTTTATGTTTTAGCTACTTCTGGATCCAAAGGGAAGAGATCGGGATGATCGCATCGCACACACCACATTATTTCGCATTTTATTTGACTCTGAGATATTTGGATGTTTTGATTACACTTTGATTTTATTATGGTTTTATAAAATATGTTTGGGCTGATGCTTTTATTATAATTAAAATGAAATTTTTTGGTCTTAATTATTGGGATGTTACAAGTTAGTATCGAGCCTTAGTTTGAGGGATTCGGACACACTCTCAGGTGTCTCTTAACTCAAACTGAGCATTTGGTAGGTTTTTATTAAAGGAATGCTTTTAAAAAAGAGTTCTCTAACAAAAGAAAGGGGTGTGGTGCATGCAATCGACCGAGCTCAAGTAAGTTTCCCCAAAATACCTATTCATGTTTTATGATATG